CCCCAAAACCCCAAAACCCCAAAACCCCAAAACCCCATTTATTAATTGCAATGTTGAGAGCAATTACTTATCATAAACCACTCTTTCCCTGTTGATTAAATGGCAAGTGGTGTCTATCTTTGACAGCAAGGATTTAATGTCATGGTTCCAGGTGTTCAGAGTATCATTTGTGAATTCCTTCTTTCCGAACTTCACTATGCCATCAATTCTGTTGATCTTGGCAACAATTCTTTTGTTAATCACCATATCTGCAATTTCTTGTTCAGTTCTATCAATTCCAACCCCAATGAGAGGAGAGAGACGATCAAGTCTGATCCTAGTGTAGTATTTCTCGATCACACGGAGATTGTGCTGAATAATCTGTTTGAAAAGACTATCAAGGTGCTCATCTGCAAATTCGATATGGGCCTGGAATGGCTCATAAATTCCTAACTGCTCTTTCACATTGTCTTCATCAAGTGGCATCAGCTCTGAAAGTAGGAATTTGTGAACAAATTTTTCAAGTACTGGATTGGATTCCAATTCTCTTGAATATCTTGTATTCACTATGTTCAAGAGATCAACTTGATGATTAGAGTATGAGGTGATCATAAGATAGATCACGAAGTTTTCGAAATTCTTGTTTTTCTCTTCATATGGGAACTCTAAATCTGACTCTTTATCCTCCTCTACTTTCTTCATGGTGTTGTAGATGGTCTGATAGCATTTAGCTACTTCAAGAGTATCCTTCTCATGGTTGTAATACTCAATAATCTGTGAATAATAGTTGATTTTGATCTTCTCAAGGCCTTTAACTTCTAACCCTTTCCTGCTGATTTTCTTGAGAATGATCTGAGTTCTCACATAATCTTTCCTCAGGAGTACAAGTTTGAGTTGATAGAGGATATACTCTAACTTCTCTTCCTTCTCCATAGACCCGTAGGTTTCTATTTGGACTTCCTGGATGGTGTCAGTAGCTTCATCGAGCTCTCCATCCTCTTCTTTCATTTCAGAGTAGATTCTGGTACATCTGGCGTACTCAACCTCTACATAAATTTTTCCTTCAGTAGCTTCTCTCAAGGAATTAATAAGATTAAACTTCTCCTCTCTAGTAGGCATTTTGTCAAGATAGGTCATGACCTGTTGGACCATTTCAGTGACTGCTTTCTTAGCCTGTCCTCTTCTCTTGGTCAGCAGGATCATAAAATATCTGAGCCATTTGTACTCCTTCTGATCAATTGAGAGCTCCATCTAAAACATAAAACTTGGGTGCTTACGATTCTTTTGCAGATCTCGCTGAGCTTGACTGCGTCATTCTCGTGCCTAGCTGCTTTCTCTTCGTGGAGCAACTTGTTTACCTCTTCAAGGTAGTCAGTCCACATTTCTTCCTCGCTGATCTCGATTAGCCTATCCATGATTTTGTAGAATGGATTTTAAAATTATAATTCTATTTTTTAGTCGAATTTAGGGGTTTTGGGGTTTTGGGGTTTTGGGGTTTTAGATGGAGCTCTCAATTGATCAGAAGGAGTACA